AGGGGGTCAACGCATGAGGGGCCAGCCAAGGCCCCAGCATGAGGGGTCAGGGTATGAAAGGCCGAAGCCCCGGCAGGAGGGGTGAACGCATGCAGGGCCAATGCCCCAGCATGAGGGGGTTGACGCATGAGGGGCCAGCTAAGGCCCCAGCATGAGGGGTCAGGGCTTGATGGGCCGAAGCTCTGGCAAGAAGGGTCAACGCATGAAGGGCCAATGTCCCAGCATGTTGGGATCAACTCATGAGGGGCCAGCCAAGGCCCCAGCATGAGGGGTCGACGCGTGAGGGACCAAGGCCTCAGCATGGTGTGTCGACGCATGAAGGGCAAGCCCCAGCATGAGGGGTAAGAGCATGAGGGAACGAAGCCCCGGCATGAGGGGTCAACGCATGAACACAATGCCTGGCATTGGCAAGACTACCCTCTTCAATCATGCAAGACTGGGGAAGGCCCACCCCCATACAGCCGGATCAGGGCGCTGCCCTGTGGAGGTAATACACATCGTGCGCATGCCGAAGAATAACCTGATTCATAAGACAAGTACGGAGGAGTCGTCGTAGTCGCCGAAGTCGTCGTAGTCGTCGTCGTCGACGTCGACGCAGAACGAGGGAGAAGGGGGATGAGGAGGGAGGAGGGAGCATGAGGAGGAGAGAGCAGCAGGAGGGAGTTTAGTCCTCCTCCTCATCATCCTCCTCCTCCACCTCCTCCTCATTTCCCCTCCGGGACATGCAGGTCAGACGCGACACCCGAGTCGGTGAGAGGCCAAATTCGGCGGCCCAACAGGCCAGAGGCGTGCGAACATCTCCTGTAACTGACCCCAAGATGGTCCAAGGAAGCCCCGAGTCGCCGACCGATCGGACCAAACCGCTCAAAATGGCCTCCAGACGCCCGCAGACGCCTGCAAGACGCCCGAAGATGCCTCCAAGAAGCGTCTCAAGAGAGCCCCAGGAAGCAAAAATGGTCGAGTCTTTTTCGGTTCTTAAAAGATTTTAGCGTTCCCACCTGTTCAGCTTCCCGACGCTCCACGACGGCCCAAGAAGCCTCCAATATCGCCCCCAGGCAGCCCGAGAGACCTCCAAGACGGCCCAAGAGGCCTCCGACACTACCCAAGATGGCACCAAGACAGCCCAAAGAAGAGGCCCAAAGTGGGAACCGGAACGGACATATCGAGCCCTCGGCACCAAGCGGCGCCCAGAAGCCCCAGGATGCTCCCCAATGCTCACAAAGGAGCTCCAAGAAACCCCAAAGAGGCTTCAACAGAAACCCAAGAGTCCCCCCAAGAAACCCCGAACGAGGACCCGAAAAGGCGCCCTAAAGCCCAAACGTCAGCGAGGGCACAATACGGGCCGGCGGAATGAGCGAAGCGATCAAAAAACCTGATTCATAAGACAATTACGGAGGAGCCGGGAAACGATTTCCAGGCTCATGATATGTCGAGTGAGCAACTGCTCGCTCGACATGGCGATTTTCAAGCGGGGTTGGGAGGACCCCTATTTGAAACCGGATTGCCTGTGTCGCCCCGGTGGCGTAACTCCAGAGGGTTCGGGTGAGGTGCTCTTTGGAGATCGATGGTCTCCTTACAGGCGCCCCGTGCGTCCTCACCCGACTACCCAACAGGAGCCCTGTGCACCATTGGCACGGGCAGGAGGAGAAGGAGGAGGAGGAGAAGGATGGGGGAGGAGGATGAGGAGGAGGAGGCGGAGGAGGAGGAGAAAGGACGAGGGACGAGGGACGGGGAGACGGGAGAATGAAGAGGCTTGGCAAGAGATGCGCGTCGACCACTCCTAGCTTCAGAGCTGGCACTGCGGGGATGCGGACACAGCGAGGCAGAAGCTCGCAGAGGGGCAAGGCCCTGAGAGCAAGCTGTGCCAGGGAAAGGAGATGCACACATGGGGATCTCCACCTCGCGAGGGGGTCTGGGCCCACCGGGAGCTGGCGCGGGCTGCCACGTCCTTCGAAGGTCCCCGACCCCTGCCCGCCCCCCAAAAAATTGCCCGATCCAGTGGGTGGGCTACTTCCCTGCTGGTCCCCGAGGTTCCGCCCACGGGCCTTTGCCCTTGACGACACCGAACGAGATAGGAAGACGGCCCCGCAGGTGGTACCATGGAAACAGAGCTTCGATTCAAACAGAGACGGCCCGAGAGGGCCCGACAATGAGTCCCCGAATGGCCCGAGGGGGCCAAGGAGGGCCGTTAGATGGCCCAGGCGCGAGCGTTCCTTGATGAAGGGTGGAGGAAAAAGCAAGGAGGAGGAGGAGGAGGAGGAGGGCTAGGAAGACGATGAGAGGAGGATGGCGAGAACGACGACGACGACGACGACGACGACGACGACGACGACGACGACGACGACGACGACGACGAACGACGAACGACGACGACGAACGACGAAGACGAACGAGACAACGACAACAACGACGACGACGACGACGACGACGACGACGACGACGACGACAATAAGGCCAGAACGCGCCAACGGAGACCTGCCCGAGGCGGCTCCATCGCAAACTCGACCAGCCTACGGGTGCCCCCGAACACCCCCAGAGGGCACGACGACGAAGCCCCCCAAGATGGCTCAAACACCTCCTCTGACAGTACCGCACACCCCGAAGACTGCCCGGCAACCTCGCCGAGCCCCAAGAAGCAACCAGGAAGCCCCCGAGAAACGCTCGTCCAGCCCCTGCCAGGTGCCACAGAGTGAACGACCTGATCCCCGAGAAAGGTGTTGTTGGAGGCCTGGAAATCGGCACCAACACCAACACAGGGGGTTGCCTCCACAGGGGGAAGATGATCCTAGAGTTCGGTTTTGGTGGTAATATTTCGGCCACCCTGGAAGCCAGAATTATTACCACCATCACCGAGATCGGGATATTCGTCCCTCGGTGGAAGCACACCGCCGATATCGGTGTTGGTGTCAACCTCTAGGCCTGCGATATTACACCAGGGCCACCTTACTTCGATCGGAACCAAAAGATAGCCTTGTCCGTTCGCCCTCTCGCGCTTGCCCACAGGGCCTCGCCGATGGGGCCCTGCCCTCGGCTGCACCGTCCCTTGGCCTCCGTGGTCCGCATCGGCCCACGGGGTTCTGCGGTGGCAGCTCCTGGGAGCCTCCCGTACAATCTTGTCGGCCCTTGCGCACTGACGCCAATCGACGCTAAATCGACGCGAATCGACGCTCATCGACGCTAACCGACGCTGAATCGGCGCTATGTCATCGGCTCCGAGCGACGTTAAACGCTAATCGACGCTTATCGGCGCTAGAGACGGAATGAAACGGGTATAATAGGCCCCCATGATTTGCTACCAAAGGATCTCGCCCTTAGCGACCCTGTCCGTTGGCTTCTCCCTAGGCTGCCCGCAGGGTCCCGCCAGCGGGGTCACCAGTGAGAAGTCCTATGTCAAGCACTGTGCCCGCTCCATTGTAACGAACGATATTGCATGGAGAATGCTGCACAGTGCTCGCTCCTGTGCAGCGAGCCACTTGCATCTTGCAAAGTAACGCTTCGATGGCAACCGTTGCCACTGAGTGAGGCGCAGGCCTCGCGTTCCGATCATCGCGTACGCACGTCTCGAGCTTGTGGACTGTGCTGATTTGGGTGCCGTGTCCTTCAAAAGGTCCCCGACCCCTTCCAACCCCTAAATTGCCCGACCCATTGCCTCCTTCTCCGCCGTCCCCGAGGTCCCGCCCGCACGAGGCTCTGCCCTCGACGATGCCGAGCGAGACCCAAGACGGCCCCGCAGGTGGCCGCCAGAGAACAGAACCTGCCAGCATGGCACAGAGACGGCCCAAGAGGCCCCCTCTCGCCATCGCTCGGACGTCCATTCCCTGTGTTTTTTTGGTTTCGTGCGTGGTTGTTTCGCCAAATGATCAAGGACGCTCCTTAATAATCCTCGCCAAGAAAAAGTGCACACGTCCGAGCGATACCAAGCGGCCCAAGAGGCCCCCTTAAGTGGGACGACAAGAGCCTCCGAGCAGCCCGAGGGAGCCAGAGAGGGCCTTCAGACGGCCCCAGCGCAGGCGTGCTGCGAGGAAGGGTGGAGGGGAGGGCGAAGACGAAGAGGAGGCGAGCTGGGAGGACAGGGAGAGTAGAATAAGGGCTAGGAAGACGAAGGAGGAGAGGCAAGCTAGGAGAAGGAGGGGCAAGGGCGAAGAGGAAGAGAAGAAGAGCTGGGAGGACGAGCACGAGGAGAAGAACGCGGACAAGGACGACGACAAGGCCCAGAACGGCCACGCGATGTGGCAACAAAAGAGACCTGTGCGGAAACCCGTCATGGAACCGCTGCCAACGACGACGACGACGACGACGACGACGACGACGACGACGGCGACGGCGATCACCAAGAGAAGAGCAGATGAAGGCGGAGGAGGATGAGAGGATGATATGCAATGCGATGCGCAGAATACGGTATGGCGTAACAGCGCTACGCTGTATTGCGATATAGCATGATGGTGTGCGCTACGCTACGTTCTGGTATGACAGTGCTGAAATTTCAATCATGTGATTGTTCATGCGGCCGTGCACTAAGATATAATGTGGATTGAAACACCCTGCTACGTTCTGCCACACTACGCAAACATTGCCCATACAAAGTCGTGCTGCGTCATGGAATGTAGCGTCAAGCTGCCATGTAATGACTTGCTCATGGCTATTGCAAAATATGGAATGCCACACGACGATTATGTGCTATACAATGTGCTACACTGCGCCATGCTGTGCTGTATTATGATACTCGTTCTATACAACGCTGCTCGTCCGTGATACGCCAGGCGGTGCTATGCTACGCATGACTATGCTGCACGACGGTATGCCTTCCATGGCACCTCCTTACGTTACACTGCATGGCATCGAACTGCACGCGCGCGCGCATTCAGCAAAAAGCCAGGCTCACGTTGCCAAAGCGGTCGAATCGCTGAACCCGCAGAGGTAATCGAAGCTGAAGGCGGACCCACGAGCCCAGTCTCCTAGATGCACTGGCCAGGGATGCCCGCGGCAGTAGCCGGAGGCCTTCAGATCTCAGACATCTGCATGTCTGACTCATCCATCTCGGGCGTACTGCCGGCGTCGGCACAGAGGCACGCTTTGTAGGCACCAATGACCGCGCCGCAGGCAGACGAATTGCCACTCTGGCCCTCGCGCAGGTACTGGCCCACCTCGCCGTCGACGGAGATGCCCACGTGAGGGCCGAACACGACGATGATGTCGCCGTTGTCCGCAACGTGGCTGGAGAAGGCGGCGAAGCCGGTCTCGCCGACGTACGGTGCGCCGCCGATGCCGCCCATGGGGAAGATCTGCCCGTAGTACTCCCGCATCACCGAGGCCAAGTCTCGCTCCTGGTTGTTGATCTCGTCAGGGCAGAAAGAGGAGCCGAGCAGGGTGGTCTCGGCCGTGAAGCCGAGGTCCTCCTCGAGCACGGTCCTCGAGCGGTTGTGCACGACCTTGGAGGGCAGCGCATTCGGGAAGTGCTTCTGCATGGCGGCGAAGCACGGGGAGCCGAACTGCGGCGACTTCCCAAGCCAGTGGAACACCCTGTCCTGCGCGGTCTCCTCCAGCTCCCGGCCGCAGGGAACGCTTCGGAAGGCCTCGTCAGTCTGCTCCACAACCTGAGGGGCAACATCGCATCTTTCTGTCGGGCACGTCTCCCTACAGGCGGATGCTGGACGAAACGTTTTTAAGGATACCCAAACCATATTCAAAAGTAATATGAAATCGTCTAAAACAACAACATCAACAACAACAACAACAAGATCAATATCAAGATCAACAACAACAACAACAACAACAACAACAACAACAACAGCAACAGCAACAGCAACAGCAACAGCAACAACAACAACAACCAACAACAACAACAACAACAACAACAACAACAACAACAACAACAACGACAACAACAACAACAACAACAACAACAACAACAACAACAGCAACAGCAACAGCAACAGCAACAGCAACAAAACAAATAACAACAAAAACGTCCACATACCATTGTTTTAGCTATGTTTGACTGTTCCTCCTTCAGAGGGACAGGCCCGACTTGCTCGTCCTCAGGGGGGCCAGCTCCCGGGGGAACACACCGAGCTTGAAGCGGCGATACGTCGCCGACCGGTCGGCGACCGGCCCCCGACCACGACTCCGAGCGCTCCCGGGTGGGGCGGGCTGCCGGGCCCCTTCTCGGCGGTGCGTGCGCGATCGGGGGTCGATACCCTCCCCCCCCCCTCGCCCTGACCTCCCAGAGGGCTACAAGAATAGCGCTCCAGACCTGAAGACTGCCTCAAACCTCGACCTCCTCCTCCTCCTCATCCTCCTCCTCCTCCTCCTGCTGCTGCTCCTCCTCCTCCTCCTCCTCCTCCTCCTCCTCCTCCTCCTCCTCCTCCTCCTGCTCCTCCTCCTCTCCTCTCCTCCTCCTCCTCTCCTCCTCCTCCCTCCTCCTCCTCCTCATCTCCGCATCCTCCTCCTCCTCCTCCTCCTCCTCCTCCTCCTCCTCCTCCTCCTCCACCTCCTGGTCGTCGTCGATGTCTCTCAGGGTCGGCGGCACGGGCCGTCAGGCCTTCACAATAGCACTCCAGACCTATAGATCCAATTATCTGGACTGTCTCAAACCCCGGCAGGGACCAGGACGTCGACGTCCCGTCGATAATTTGTTGGTTCTCCTGGAAGGTCAGGGCGAGCCTATCCCACCCTGTGGTACGGTTGCCCCCGAGGACCGCGGACTCGGCGGCGGCCGCCGCGACTTTGGCCTGCTTCCTGGCCTTGCGGCGGCCGCTGGCGAGGCCCAGGTACGCACCGGCCAGGCCGGCGGCCGCCGCGACGGCGACCCGCTGGCCAGCTGCCGCCCCCTCGGGCGTGGCGCCCGCGCTCGGCGCCGGCGCGGCCAGCGGCTGCGGCACCGCGGGCGCGACGGGCGTCGCGGGAGCAGACGACAAGAACGCCACAGAGCTGCCGAGCATGGCGCCGACACGCGAAGTGGCAGCGAAGAGCTGAAGGCAAAAGCACCCCTTGGCCGAAGCGGCAGCGTTTACCACAGTGTTCACCCCTTGAGCTCCAACGGCGGAGGGGGGCCAGCGCGAGTGCAGGCATACGTCTTGGCACCAGAGGGCGCGCTAGCTGGCACAAATGCCTTCGCGCGCGGTCCGTGCCCCCCGATTCCGGCTCGCAGCCCCGCGTTCCCAAGAAACGGAAGATGTGTGGACCGCCACCAGGACTACAGTCGGGCCGCTGAAAAAAAGAACGCTAAACAAGGAACGAAGCCCCTTTTTGGCCCGGCAAGGGGAACAGCAATGGAGGAACCCAAGGAACATCGAGCCCCTTCCGAACCCAAATTGTTACTTATTTCAGCGTCTTCGACTGTACGGGGAGCCGAGCGCGCTGGCAGCCTAAACGGCGCTTCGGGGAGCCCTTCCGACACCCCACCCGCGTGCCGTTCCCTCGCACGGCAGCGCTGCGCTCCCGGACACCAAAGCACGGAGTCGGATCCGAACGCTTCGCGCCAGAATATAACAAGTGCGAGCGAGCAAGCGAGACGCCTGACGTCAAGCGCGGCCTGCGCAGAGGCGGGAAAGAAGGCGTGCAGTACGGGGACTGTCGGTCGGACTCGACATTGCAACAGTCTGCGCGCCGTCTTGCTGAAGGCTCTCACCCTAAGAGCTTGCTTCGACCGCCGCCCTCCCCAGCGAAGGGAGGCCCAGCCCTGAGCCCCAGGCGGCCAAACGCACCGAACATAAGGGCTATGCGCAGTCGGCCTGGGGAGGATGCGAAAGAGGTGGCCTCAATCGGCGGCGAGCGAGGGGAGGAAGTGAGAAGGGGCGGGCCCTCTCAGAAGGCTCGGGAGTCCCCCGGCCTGCTGAGAAGTTTCTAAGCCCTCCCCGAGGACCCGGAAAAAACTTCCCAGAAGGCCAGAGGGCTTTCTGAGAGAGCCTCCTCCTCCTCCTCCTCCTCCTCCTCCTCCTCCTCCTCCTCCTCCTCCTCCTCCTCCTCCTCCTCCTCCTGCTCCCCCTCATCTTCTTCTTCTTCTTCTTCTTATTCTTCTTAGTATTATCACGAGTAGCATTATCAGCACCGTTGTTCGCATTGTTTGTTTAATTGGAATTAGCCTGAATCGTAGTTTTCGTAGTTTCCTTATGATGATCACAAGTATGAATATCACTATTAATGTGATTAGTTGTGTTTTTCGCATTGTTCGTATTAGTCGTATTACTAGCACTCACCTCATTAGTCTGATAAATAGTGATACGAATGCGAATACTAATAATCATAATATTCATACCAAAAGTACTCGTACTACTAATAATGATGGTAACAGCAATAATAAAAAATGATAACAATAATAATACTAGCAATAAGAATAATAGCACTACAAATAATAAGAATAAGAAGAATGATGATGATGATGATGATGGTGGTGATGATGATGTTATTATTACTCCTCCTCCTCCTCCTCCTCCTCCTCCTCCTCCTCATCATCATCATCCTCATCATCATCCTCATCATCATCATCATCATCATCATCATCATCATCATCATCATCATCATCATCATCATCATCATCATGCCTCCTCCCCCTCCTCCTTCTCCTCCCTCCTCCTTCTCCTCCTCCTCCTTCCTCCTCCTCCTCCTCCTCCTTACCCCCCCTTGCTCGCCGCTGACTCAAGAGGGTAGGTGCCAGCTGGCCTGGAGGAAAGAGGAAGCGGGAGAAGCTGCCGCTGCGGCGGCAGCCCTCTCTGCCCCATGCGCAGAGAGACGCGAGAGGCCGCGGGCCCGCGCCGAGGCCTTAAACGCGCCAGAGCGAGCTGGGGCCGACGCGGACCTGCAACGGTCCCGCTTCTCGAAGCCGCCTGCCCATGGAGCTCCCGATCTCTTCCTCAGGAGGCATCTACTGGGAGGTCCTCGTCGGAAGGATCCAGGAGAAGTCAGTCCCACTGGGGGGCTCCTACGCCGGATTCGGCCAGGGATTAAGCTGGACTAAGCTGGACTCAACCGAATCAAGCCGGATTAAGCGGGATCAAGCCAGATTGAGCCGGATTTCGGACTAGAGGGCTTGCCTCCGAACCTGCCCCTGGAGCTCTCGATCTCTTCCCCGTGACCTGTTTGACTACCTATACCAAACCACCCCAGCCCAACCTGAAGACCCCAACTTAGGGGACGGCGACGACGACGACGACGACGACGACGACGACGACGACGACGACGACGACGACGGCGACGACGACGACGACGAAGCCGACGGCGACGAAGACGACGAAGCCGACGGTGACGAAGACGACGACGACGACGACGACGACGACGAAGACGACGACGACGAAGACGAAGACGACGAAGACGACGACGACGACGACGACGACGACGACGACGACGACGGCGACGACGAAGACGACGACGACGAAGACGAGGGCGGCGCGGGCGGCGCGGGCGGCGAGGCGAGCCGCGGGGGGGTGGCGCACACGGCCACCACGCGCCCGCGGAGCCACTCGGCGGCGTCGGCGCCGCGTAGGACCCGCCTCTGGAGGACGCAGACGTCCTCGGCCGGGCGCTCCATGCCTCGGCCATCCGGGAGGGAAGTCCTCCTCCTGCTCCTTATCCTCCTCCTCCTCCTTCTCCTCCTCCCCCTCCTCTCCTCCTCCTCCTCCTCCCTCCCTCCTCCTCCTCCTCTCTCCCTCCCCTCCGCCTCCGCCTCCGCCTCCGCCTCCTCCTCCTCCTCCTCCGCCTCCTCCTCCTCCTCCCCTCTCTCCTCCTCCCTCCTCCTCCTCCTCTCCGCCTCATCCACATCACCACATCATCATTCATCATCATCATCATCATCATCATCATCATCATCATCATCATCATCAGCAGCAGCAGCAGCAGCAGCATCATCAGCATCATCATCATCATCATCATCATCATCATCATCATCATCATCATCATCATCATCATCAGCATCATCATCAGCATCATCATCATCAGCATCAGCATCATCATCAGCAGCAGCAACATTATCATCATCAAAGGCCGCCCCGAGCTCAGGCCTCAGGAGGCGCAGCGGTCTGAGCGGACGCGCCCCCCGCATCAAGGAGACTTCAGAGAGCGAGCCACGGCGTACACCCGCATGGGGACGGCGGGTGCCCGGGCGTGCTCTAGCGCGCGAGCAGGCACAAGGCTGCCAGCTTGGGCGCCTCCTGCAAATCCGTTCGAACACGGCCATGGCATGCAGGAGAGCACCAAGGACGGCTCGCACCAGTCCGCAATTTCGGACCACTACGGCGACATTGAATTCATGACGGGTCCAACCGACGAGCACGCACCGCTACCAGCTGCACGCCAGCATGCCGCCGATGAGTTTCAACCTGCAGCCGAGGAATACGAACGTGACACGCATACACGACAACCGCTCGAAGGCGACGCTGCAGAACTACGAGCAGCAGCACTGCCACGCTGCCACGATCCCCGGGAGGCCGAATATGCAATATCGTATGACACTAGGCTTCACACCACATCAGAGCCGACTCGTCGCCACTCCCACTGTTAGAACGCCCCAGGCCGGGACTCGCCCCTTGCCAGGCCAGGTCTTGGGAGTCGAGGGAGGTCAGCAGGCGGCCCCGCAGGGGCCCCAGCCGAAGGACTCGACATGCCATGGGATGGCACGCGACCTGCCACTGCCAGCACTACCACCAAGCCGCTTGCGATTGTGGGCTGGAATCCTCTTTCGCTGAAGGGACCACCTGGCCGCCTCGACGACATCTCGGATACCCTCTACAAGTTTCAAGCAACACTGGCTGTTGGCACCAAACTTCAGCAACGTGCACGCGACGTCCCTCACCAAGTGGACGACTCAATACGACATCACTGCATGCAGTTTGAATGGAGTCGCGTCCAGTATACCAGTTCATCGGAAGGCTGCAGCATAGCGCTGAGCAAACGACTTTTTTGGAGGCAGGACATCGTTCGCATACTTCATCCTAGTGCTGATTTGCAGGGCCGTAGAGGCGTCGTGGAAGTACACAGAGGAGCGGTTCGCATACGATGTGTTGCAGCATACTCTCAGTCCCGACCAAATCAAGACCAGTACCACCGTGGCAAATGGGCTATCGCAAATGACTGCAACGGTCTCTTCAGATGATTTGTGAATTACCAAATCAAATGATACCTATCACTGTCACGGACCTGAACCAGGGACCGGGAAAAACTTGCGGGCAAGATTTATATCCATATCCACTGCGTCTTGGGTCGGGCATGTCCCCCTACAGGCGGATTCTGGACGAAAAATCAAAAACCTGATCGGACAAGAGCGGGAAGCGCCGCTGTAGTCTAGTGGGCGTATTGGGCGAAGAAGAGAAGGAAGGCGAGGACAACGAAAAGTCGATGACGAGGACGATGTGGCGAACGTGAGGATAGCGAGGAGGAGCATGAGGACAACGAGGAGGAAGAGAAGCACAAGGACGAGGACGAAGAGAACGAGGGCGAGTACGAGGAGGAATGCGGAGGGCGAGGATGACGACGACGACGACGACGACGACGACGACGACGGCGACGACAGAGGACAGTACGAGGCAATTGGAAAAAGACCCCCTACTGGCGGATTTTGGGCGAAAAATCAAAAGTCCGCCGGCCCCCTTGTGTGGCCACCGGGCTGTAGGCCCAATGTTCGCAGTTTTTTCTGTACCAGTTGCAGCTTCCAGCTTCCACTGTTACAGTTCTGTTTTTTGCTTCTTACTGCTCCTTGTTACAGTTCTGCTTTTTGCTGCTTACTGTTCCTTGTTGATGGACCGCGCGAGGGGGGAGGCCCAAAACGGGCAGTTTCACCACGCCCTGAGCGTGTTGTCTGAATTGCTGGGGTGTGTAAAAATTGGCACCCCTCACGCAGATCGGCGGGGCCCAAAAACACATGGCATTTGCCACATTTCTGAAATTCGGTGACACCCCTCGCGCACATCGGCGGGGTCAGGGTCCATAAACACACGGGATTTGCCACATTTCTGACATTCGGTGAAACCCCTCACGCAGATCGGCGGGGTCAGGGTCCAAAAACACATGGCATTTGCTACGTTTCTGAAATTCGGTGGCACCCCTCACGCAGGTCGGCGGGGTCAGGGTCCAAAACCAATGGGATTTGCCACATCTCTGAAATTCGGTGGCACCCCTCACGCAGATCGGCAAAGTCAGGGTCCAAAAACATGAGGGATTTGCCACATGTCTGACATTCGGCGGCACCCCTCACGCAGATCGGCAGGGTCAGGGTCCAAAAACCAGTGGGATTTGCCACATTTCTGAAATTCGGCGGCACACCTCACGCAGATCCATAGGGTCAGGGTCCAAGAACATAAAGGATTTGCCACATCTGAAATTCGGTGACACCCGTGACGCAGATCCGTAGGGTCAGGGTCGAAAAACAAACAGGTCCCGACACTGCTTCCCGGCGGCGCCCAGACCTCATGATTTAGCTTTTGCAATTCCCATTATCCGAGACAGGGCGCCGGCAGCATAGGGTGAAGCCCTTACGGATAGTCAAAAAATATTCGAAAATTGTCCAACAC